CTCTCTCTGGTCAAATTAAAAAATAATAATAACACATGGAATTAAATAAAAATAAATATGTTTTAAGTTATATAATATAAACATATATATACGTACATATGTGTATATATATATGTATGTGTGTGTATACACATGTATATATTTATTATTATTTTTTTTTACTTTCCAGAGAACATGTACTCCACAGAGAGGCACACAGACAGAGAGGAAGCAATGGAGAAAGCACCCCTCAATGGAGTGTGGTCATGCACCAGCCCCCCTCCTCCATTTCTCCATCCTGTCGGGATGTGGGCTTGCATGAACACGTGCCCAGCATGTTTTTCAAGCTGCTGGGGCAGGGGTTTGAACCTCGGTCAGCCATGTGGGATCTGGCTTGCTTAACCTCTAGGCCACAGGGCTGGCTTTATAAGTTGTTTCATATCATATGAATGAGATACAGATTCTTTGAGTGCGTGGGGGTAGGGGTGACTATAGGCTTTCTGTATCTCAGATCTTTGAATTGGCAGTTCATAGGAAGTCCAAACTCAAGAGAACCTTGAGATCATTTACTTCACCTTATTTTATAGATAAAGCGACCTTCAGAGTAAAGAAGTGACTTATCCAAGGTCATCTGGTCAAATAGTGGCAGAAGCAAGACTAAGACAAAGCTCTTCGTTTTCCTTTAACTTTTAAATTTCAATTTTTTTAATACATTCAATCACATGTTACTTAGCTTCAAAGTGAATATTTGAACATGTGTACGTTTCTCACCAGTAAGGTCAAACTCTTTCCAGTTTCCTAGATCAGGTGCTCTATAGACAGTTACTCACGAATCCGACCCTCGGAATCAAGTTAACTTTTTGTCAATTGTGTACCAAAGTCTTAGGATGACGGTTGCAGGCCTCACATCTGACGCTGTGACTTAGTACAGCTAACTTGTTGGGTGCTCCACTGTCCCCAGGATCCTTTCACATTTGCTATTCCTTATGGTAGGAGAACCAGTCCTATAATGAGCAGCATTGTTCCTGCTTTCACATGAAGGCTCCCCCGGGATCTCACAGTGGTCAATGTCCTCTCGCCACACTGTTAGAGTTATCTGGTCTTCCAGGCCATTGAAAACTTTGCCTTGACGTTGAAGACCACGGCCCAGATGCTCCAGGTGTTCGGGGCTCGCCTGGCCACCACAGAGCTGCCCACAGGTGTGCTGCCCACTGAAGACCTTCTCATGGCCCACACAAGGCAGCGGGACAAGCTGCAGGTGAGTGGTCCTTGGCCTCTCGGAGGCCGGTTTCGGCACTGGTCTGCCTCCTGGCGAGAGTAAGAGCAGAATTACATGTTAAGCCCTCTTCTCCCTTCTTCTCCAGTGACATGACTGCCACCAACCGTCTTAATTAAGCCTTCTGGATTGATGGTATTTCATGAAGAGAAAAATCCCTTCAGACTGGTGACTGTAAGACCTAGGGGAAGCAGGCCAGAGACGGGACTCCCTTGCGGTTTTGAGCTGGCGAGCTGGGGCATGATAGTACCCTTTCAAGGCAGCACTGCCATGATCCTGCTCGGGACAGAGCGGGAGCCTGGGCTGCGATGACAAGGCAGGGGCGGGGGCGGGCGTGAGCATTTGGAGTATCCGCTTTTCAGTGGCTATGAAGTTTGAGGCAGACCTGTAAGCTGATGTAATGCTTCACTTGCTTAGGGCTGTGTCTTTTTACGTAGAGACTAACTGGGAAAAAGAGCTGTGGAAAGCATTTTAAGCTGGGTTTAAGGAGAGGCACCTATTACATGATTCATAAAAAGCGCATCAGAACCTGCTGAGAAAGGAGCCTGGCAGGTTCTGTAGACCGTACAGCAGAGGCAAGTCTTCATGGGCCTGCTCCTTCCTGGGTGTGTCCGCCTTGAGCAGCACACACAGAGCGAGCCCATGGGCTCGCAGAAGACCAGCCCTCCATAGCAAAGGCTGGACGGCTGACCCACCGTAGCATTATGTGTGTTTATGCTGTTTCAACCTTGGGAAGAGCTGAACTTTTAAAATTGTGGCCCCACATTTGCAAAAATACTTTGCTAGATGGTTGATTCATTCATTTATTCAACACTTATTCAGTATGTATTCCAGGAAAACCAAAAATATGTAGCCTCCAGGGAAACACAGTCTAGTTAAGGGAGTCTCAGAGTCTAGTGTTCCCTGTCTCAGAGAGCGTTGTCAAATCCTCTCCTTCGAGAGATTGTTATCCAAAAGAACTCAAATGAATTCTCAGGAATACTCGTAGACACCCAGAGTCCTGGATGGAAATTGTGAAATGCTGACAGCATTCTGGAACATTTCCCTGGAAATTCCTCGGAAGCTTGACCATTTTCTTTCCCAGACATGTTGCCCGCGCCCCCTTCAGTGATTCCCGGGAGGCATGGGTTGCAGAGTGCAGGTCGAGGGCACCGTCTCTGATGTTGGGTGGGAAAGGGCTTGCGGCCTCACAGGTCACAGATGGCAAGAGTCTGCAGGGGTCAAGCAGGACGGCGGAGCACGGCGGGAAGGGTACCTAGCGTGCCAGGGACTGGGACACAGAGCTCCTTCCCAGGGTCGGTATGCACAGCCTCCGTGGGTTGAAGAAGGGGTTGAGCTTGCAGAGCTGAGGCACGGAGAGAGCTTGGAGGTTGAGGCAGGAGGCTCTGAAAACTAAGAAACTTCCAATAGAATCTCATCTGGTCACTTTGGTACATATCAAAGCAATCTGTTTATATATAAAAAAAAGTCTCGGCGCATTCATAGCAGAACAGTCTTATCCAACTTTTAAGAAAACTGCTGACTTTAAGGAAGGCTCTTTGCTAGAAACAGAAACCCCTTCCCCTCGGGCTGAGCCAGCTCGGATTGTAACCCATCCTTGTCGTGGAAGAGTGCTCCCAGCTCCATATGTCTCCTCAGATCGTGAGCACTCGGGTTTCCTGCTAAGAGTTAGAAACATTTCTTTGTGATTTTATTATCCCATCTGAGGGCCGGAAAGGAAGTCTAGCACACACAACCACCTTTAACCTTCTCTGGGCCGCTGCATTCCTGGCCACTGAGGCAAGCAGGCACCCTAGCACTCATGGAGAGACTGCATGGTCGCAGGTGCCCAAGGCTCTCCTGCAGAGGGGATCTTTCTCCGAGGGGAGGCTCTTACTTCCTGAGGAAAGGCAACCTGGAGGGGCCAGCTCTCAGTTTCCAAGCAGTACTCGCTCTGCCACCACTGAGACCCAGCTGTACAAAGAAAGGAAACTCGCAGAAGGGGAGCAGGAACTTACACGCGTGTTCCAGAAGACGGTGCCCTGAACTCCTCCAGCCTGTCTGCTGGAGGGGAAATTAGTGCGGTAAACGATTAAGGAGATTTTCTCCCCATGGAAAGAAGCTCCGTTTTTGAGCTGGTCCACTTACCTTTATCCCTTTCAAGTGCCCTAGTTCCTCCATCTTTCCCTCTGTGTTCATGGCAGATTTTTGTAACCCTGCTAAAGCTGACCACGTGGTTCAGTCCCAATGCAGTGACCAGGGCAGGATTTTTGCTTGTGTTTTCTAGAAGCAGTGAAAAGGAGACACACCACATATGACCTTACTGAGACCCCCTTCCCTCTCACACGCTTTCCATCCGTGCTGCCCCTCTGGGTTTCTCTCTCCTGTTTTGGCCTTAGTGATAAGCCTCTTCAGCCTCTCCACTCTCTCCCAACTCTGCATCACAAAGGCGAGTGTGCGTTCTAACAGTGGATAATGTGAGTCCTGTTGGAAAGCTTAGGGGCAGCGATGAGACCCAGCAGGAAAACCCAGCACCTTTGTAGTGGGGAGGAGGAGGAAAGGCTACGACCATTCCCCTGTAAGTATTTTCCTCTGTCCTGTCTGTCTTTAGTCATCTACCTAGTTTCTTTTACACTATGGTTAATTTATATCTTTAGTCATCTACCTAGTTTCTTTTACACTGTAGTTAATTGTTTTACCCTACAAATATTTAATGAAGGTTGATGAGCTGAGAAATGAGTGGGGAAGAAGGGCTACGTCCAGTTCCTAGGCAGGAGTGCCAGGGAGGTGGCTGATGTGGGGCGTTACCTGGAGTCCACCGAGCCAGAGGGAGAGGGAAAGTGAGAAAACAAACTGCCAGGTCTGGGACTCGAACCACAATCAGTCACATGGGAGTTCAGCACCCTAACCACCATGCCACCTGTGGGCCCCAGGTAAAGCATTTTAATGGTTAACTATTAATAATATTACATTATCATTGCATGGCAGTTTCTAATACTTACCATTAAATATTTGTCATTCTCATTTTTCTCTTCACTATCTTGGATTAGAACCAGATTTTATAACCTAGTTTTGCTTTTATTTCCAACCATTTGAGAAACACAAACAGCAGCAGATGTTGCGTTTGGAGAGGGAACGTATACAGGCTGGGGACAAAAACCTTGCTTTTTCTTGGATATACTCTTTTGTGTATTTTGAATTTTATGTGTTCATATTACCTAATAAAGATACATTAATTGATTTTTTTTATTTTTTTATTTTTTGGAGAGGTTTTTGCTATAGGGCGTGTGCACTCGCCAGACAGAGACAGAGAGACAGAAAGCAGGAAATCACCATCCAAGGGGGATGGCCATACCGCAATCCCTTCTCCTCCATTCTCCTCTCGGTATCTTGGGCACGCACGCACACGCGCCCGGCGTGAGTTTTAAGTCACCGGGTCTGGGACTTGAACTGCGGTCGACTATGTGGGAGTCCAGTGACATAGCCATTACGTCAACTGCTGGTCCCAATTAATTGATTTTTAAAAAGCCGCATTGTGACTTCTTTAGCACTGAGTTTTCAGAAGAAAAACATGCTGATATATCATTCTTCTCCCCCCAAATCTACAAAGAATTCGTCTTGGTTAATTCCTTTGAAGAGAAACTACTGTTTTCTTCCTCTAGGATGAGCTGAAATTGCTTGGAAAGCAAGGGACCACACTGCTGTCCTGCATGCGAGAGCCAGTAACTAAGCCCCCCGCCAGCAAACCCAATCCCAGTGAACTTGAGAATGCGGCTACCATGGAAAGGTGAGCGAGCACGGATCCACCTTCTCAGGACAACCAAGAGCAGACTGGAACAGCTACTGTTGGTGGGGCCAACAAGGAATAAAATGTGAGATAACAAAAGGAAAACGGTTGTGTCCGTGCGGTACCCACCTCCAGATCTTTTTATGGAAATTCCGTTTCCTTCTCTGATGACATGCTGTCGTGTCAAGGGAGGCAGCCATGTTTACTGGGCTTCACTTCCCAGTAGCAGTTGGACTGACGTGCTTACACACACCATCTTGGGCAGAAGGAGAGACCAAGGAATCCGGCCCCATGGCCTGGTGGTTAAGGGAGCTGGTCTCGCGTGGCCAGCCATGTTTCAAATCTTGATTCTGTTGGCTTGGAGGACACTCCAGGCATGATGTGAGTGTGCTCCAACTCCTGTCAGGGTGGAGAAATGGAGGACGGGACTGTGACAGACCGCGTTCCCTCGAGAACGCTCTGTCCCTCTCCCCCTCTGCCTTTGATGAGCACATGCGTCCTCTGACAGTTAAAAAGTGGAAGGCGGCTCAGAGGTAAAGGCACCTGGACCACCTTTTTTTTCTTTCCTTTGTTTTTTTTTTGAGAGGTTTTTGCTATAGGGCGCGTGCGCTCCCCAGAAAGACAGAGACAGAAAGCAAGAAATCACCCCCCAGGGGGGATGGCCACACCTCAGTCCCTTCTCCTCCATTCTCCTCTTGGGATCTTGGGCACACACACACACATGCACCCAGCATGAGTTAAAGCCACCGGGTCCAGTACTCGAACTGCTGTCAACTACATGGGAGTCCAGTGACATAGCCATTATGCTAACTGCTGGTCCCTTCTGGACCACCTTTTAAAGCGTCCACAGCTGAATCTGAAGTGACGTTCCTGATTGCACCGTAGGTATCCTGATTGGAAAATGGAAGGTGTGGGGACCCCCCGGAACCATAGGAAAGGGAGGGGATTTCCCAGCCACTAACAGACTGAGAACATAGGTGCTGCATACAGAGGCCTGCATGGACGCTGAGGAAATGAACGCTAACGCCCAGTTACTTTCTCGTTCTTCCTGAAAGGCTGTTAGTTCAACTGGCTGAAACAGAAGAGGCCTTTAGTCAGTTCTGGTCCGAGCATCACCTCAAGTTTCACCAGTGCCTACAGCTTCAGCAGTTTGAGCACAACTTCTGTAAGGTATTAGTTTCTCGTTTCGGCCACTTCCTGTCCTGATACCGCGTCCTCTGGTTCCCTCTCCCCCTTGGACTCTTTGATCTTGGGCTTCCCTTGTCTCGAGTCCAGCTCCCTCTTACCCTGCTTCTTCACAGACTGCTCTCCCCAGTTCCTCAGTGGGATGGCAGGGTTCTGGAATCCATTTTCCCGTTGGCATGCACGATATTTTAGTGATGGCTCGCTTCCCTCTCTGGCTGATAATCTGCTGAATGTAGGTCGTCCATTTTGTCTACAAGTTCCTCTGCACACCCCAGCTACCTCTGGCTGATAATCTGCTGAATGTAGGTCGTTCATTCCATCTACATGTTCCTCTGCACACCCCAGCTATATCTGAAAACTAAGCAGTTGGAAAGGAGAGAAGTGAGGAAGGGAGGGAGGGAAGGAGGAAGGGCATACAGACACAAGTCCTAAATCCCTTTTGGATTTTGGGGTTTTCTTAGAGCACAACAAACCTAGTCCCCCAGATGGGTGCCCTGGCTTCTGGATTGTTTCCCTATGTCTTGCAGGTTAAGCTGGCCCTGGATAATCTGCTGGAGGAGGAGGCAGAGTTTACAGGTGTTGGAGACAGTGGGATGCATGTGGAGCAACTGCTCAAGGAACACAAAAAACTAGAGGAAAAAGCCCAGGTTTGTTTTTGATGTTTCTGTGTACTGGCAAGAAAGTCTCTGTGAACCGAGAGGACAGCGTCCAAGGCTGCTCCTGGGAGGTTGATAAGGATACAGGAATGCTCAGTCCTGCCCTTTGGTCACCCCACCCCTGGTCCCCCAGGAGACCTGCACATTAACAACTACAACAAATACCAGTAGCTCAGCAGGATGCTGAGCTGTGGAGCATGCAGCTGAGCTCCAGTTGGTGGCTCAGGTGGGTGAAGACGCTGGCCAGCCCTGCCCTCCCATGGGGCTGGCAGCCAAGGGAGAAGGTACAGTGGGCGTGTCACTCACCAGACACTTTACCCCAGAGTTTCCCCGGTCACTTAGTGCTCCTCCCAGGGGCCTGGATGTTGGGTGGGAGCTGGTGGTAAGGAGGGGAAACTTTAAAGTAGGAAACCAGAAAAAGTCAACAATTAGTGTAACTAGAGAGGCAGCTAGAGGGGGAACTGGCTCACTTTGGTTGTGTTGCCACAGTTACGCAAAATTGGCAAAGCTTTGTCCTTTCTCACGCCCCAAGAGCGATGTCTCAGGCTTATGGAGGAAACTGTTTACGGTTTCCACAGGAGGAGTAAAGTCTCCCAGAGCTGCACACAGCCAGCATAGGGCAGAGGGTCTGTTTTAGGTCCTTACATATTTGGTTTACTTCAAACTAAGAACACCAAATCATCTCTTTCCAGAGAAGTTCCTTTCCGCTTTAACTGGGTTCTCATACTTGTGTCTCTTGGGATCAAATAGCAGCAGCAAGCCCTCCCCGCGTTCGCACTCCGTGAGCCATGAGCTGTGAGCCGTGGCAAGCACGTTTCTCAGGTGACACTTCTGTAGTGCTAGAGACGCTTCTCCAGGCGAGAGCCTCGGCCAGCAGCGTGGGTGTACAGTCACAGAATCTCAGGTCCTGCTGGGGACCAGCAGGTGGTGTGGTTAAGGCGCTGGACACTCCCACATGGCAGGCCATGGTTCGAGTCCTAGACCTGGTGACTTGCTTTCTCACTTTCTCCTCTCTCTCTCTCTCTCTGGTCAAAATAAATGAATGAATAAACAAAATTAAAAATAATTATTGGAAAAAAATCTCAGGCCCTTCCTTGGAGTCAGAATCTACATTTATTTATTTATTTATTTTGAATCTGCATTTGTTTTTTAAAGAGAGAGTTTTGCTATAGGATGCTTGCACTCACCAGAGAGACATAGAGATGGCAAGAAATCAGCCCCTGGGGGCATGGGCCACGCCACAATCCCCACTCCTCCATTCTACTCTCAGGATTTGGGGCATGCTCACACACGCGCCTGGCATGAGTTTCAAGCCACCAGGTCTGAGACTTGAACCGTGGTTGAGTATGTGGGAGTCCAGCAACATAGCCATTACACCATGTGCTGGCCCCTTGAATCTACATTTGAATAGATCCCTGGAAAATTGACACATGCGTCGCCGTTAGATAAACCCGCTAGAGGATGTGAAACCAGCATAAACCAGGGCCACACTCCCCCTACAGCTGACTGGCTGTGGGTCCTGCAGGGGGATTGCTCTGGGCAGGCGTGGCCACACCACTTCACCTGGGCACAGGTCCTGGGTGGACTGCTCTGTACAGGGATGAGCACCACCTCACCTGGGCACAGGTCGGGGGGGAGGGGAATTGCTCTGCACAGGCGTGGCCACACCACCTCACCTGTGCACAGGTTGGGGGTGGGGAGGGGAATTGCTCTGCATGGGCATGGCCACACCACCTCACCTGGGCACAGGTAGGGGGGAGGGGATTGCTCTGTGCAGGTCGCGGGTCGGGGGGAGGGGATTGCTCTGTGCAGGCATGGCCACACCACCTCACCTGGGCACAGGTGGGGGGATTGCTCTGTGCAGGCATGCCCACACCACCGCACCTGGGCACAGGTGGGGGGATTGCCCTGTGCAGGCATGGCCACACCACCTTACCTGGGCACAGTCCTGAGTGAGGGAGCCTGTGCCTCCGCAGTGAATGCTCTACCCGTTATCAGTGATCATTGACAGCTCAGCGCTTTGGTACCTGAGTCTCAGGAATGTCTGTGAAAGAAGGGAGAAGCTGAGTTTGTACAGACGGGAACCATGTGCCTCAGATTCTCCAGGGTAGCCTTAATTTTATATTTTATATTGTTTCAGTTTTTTGAAGAGGACTTTATTAAATATATATTTTATGTATATGTATATATATTATATGTATATAATATATATATAGTGTGTGTATCAGAAAAATTGTCCCATCAATTAAAAACACCCTCCTATATGTGTGAAGATGGCTACTGGCCTACCAGGAGGGCACTCACTTAGCAACAGGTGTTCCTTGTTGTAGGGTTTTTTTTGGAGAGGTTTTTGCTATAGGGCACATGCTTGCCAGAGAGACATAGAGACAGAAAGTGAGAAATCACCCCCCCGGGGGGATGGCCACTCCGCAATCCCTTCTCCTCCATTCTCCTCTTGGGCTCTTGGGCACACACACACATGCGCCCGGCATGAGTTTAAGCCACTGGATCTGGGACTCGAACCACACTCAACTACACGGGAGTCCAGCGACATAGCCATTACACCAGCTGCTGGTCCCCCTTGTCGTAGGTTCTGTGGATGTGTTGAATCACAGAATCCAAATCCTGCTCTCACAGAGCTTATATTTTAGTGAGGAGAAATAGTTCATTAATAGTGTGCTACCCTAGCCAGGATGGTCAAGGAGGGCCTCCTTGCTAGGCGACGTCTGATCTGAGCTCTGTGTCGTTTCAAGTGCGAGGTCTTACGGTGGGAGTGAGCTTGGTGAGCTCAGCAGTGTTGCTGGGGCATGGGGAGCCAAGAGAGACGGGCAGGGGCCAGCGGTCATGCTGGGCCTGAGATCGTGGGGATCTGGGTCTCATTCCCTGAGGGACTGGCACCTCGGAGGACCCTCCAGGCTGTGTTTTGAATAGTGGTGCTGCATGCGCATGGCCACATCACAGTCTCTTCTGTCCAGCTTCTTGGACTTAGGACCCTTGGTATATACTTTAAAGCTTGCTGACCATAGGGTCACCAGGTGGCATGGAGGTCAGGGCAGCAGGATCCCACATGACTGACTATGTGGTTCAAGTCCTGGACCCAGCAGCTTGAAAATCATGCCCAGAATCCTGAGAGAAGACAGGAGGAGAAGGGACCATCCCCCTGGGGTGACTTCTCACTTTCCCCCTCTCTCTCTCTGCCTATCTCCAGTCAGCACACGTGTCCTATACAAAACTAAAAACGACAAGAGAAACTTGCCAACCAGAGCTGGGACAGAAACTTGTGGTCATGGGACACAATGCTCTGAGCACCCCTGCCTCTTTGTGGGCAAAGTTCTTACACCGGCTGGCCCCACCCACTGCAGGTGGCCTGCAGAGCCCAGAGGCGCTGACTGTACCCATCTGCGCCTGGATTGCCTCGCCTCTCATCTTACTTCCTAGAGAGAGCAACACACCTTTCTCCATCGTCGGGCAAGCACAGGACGGGGCCCTTTCTTGGTGTGTCTCCTCTCAGATTAACGAGAAACATTGCTCCTTCAGATCATTAGGGCTTGGCTGGTTTTCCCATTGGTCCCATAAAGTGTTAAGTGTTGAAGGAACAGTGGTGCCTGGACAGATTTGGCCAGACACCTGCTTGGGGGCTGTCCTGTCCTTGGCTCTCCCATGACAGCCGCTGGTTCTGGGCCTTACCCTGCGGGGGCTTACCCCGCAGCTCACCTGCGCCAGCTCACTCCCCAGACTCCCGTCATGCTAAGGAGCTGCTCTTTACCTCGTTCTAGCAGAGGGTCGTGACCCTTCAGGTACTCTTTTCTGACTTTGAGGAACACAAGCTTCCACCAGCTTCTAGAAAGGCAGAACTTACAAAGGGTCCAGCTGGAAGGCATACTGAGAGCTTTGGAGACGGGCCAGCGGGGAGCAGGCCTGGGCAGGGTAGGCGGCCACCCTGATCTTAGCCTTGGCCTCTCCCCTCAGAGCTACTGAGCCTGTCTGTGTGCAGATATATGTATGTACTGTGTGTGTGTTACATACATGCATCTCAAACACAGGTGAGCTGGTACCGACTCCCATGTGTCCATCCCTCATTTCTGCCTCCCTCACTGTATCTCCCCCCCCATCCATGTTCCCTTCCTGTGCCGTCACCTGTGGGGTCATTCCAGAGTCCCTGATACAGCAGCACCGTTTTCTGACATTTTCATCTTTCACCTGTCATAGCAGAAGGGTCCTTGAGAAAATCAACTACTCTGATAACGAAGAATTCTGAATTAAATGTTGCAGCTTAACTATTCAGCCTTCTGGAATTTTCAGCATCTGGAAAATGGCAGATAGGCTTATAGTCAGAGTACCAGATTTTAGCCATTTCTTTTTTTTCTTTTTGGAGATTTTTTTTTTTTTTTTTTTTTCTATAGGGCACATGTGCTTGCCAGAAAGAAAGAGAGAGCCAGAGAGACAGTAAGCGAGAGATCACCTCCCAGTAGGGATGGCCATGCCACAATCTCTTCTCCTCTCAGGATCTTGGGCACACATACACATGCACCTAGCATGAGTTTAAGCCACCGGGTCTGGGACTCGAGCCACAGTCAAGTACATGGGAGTCCAGTGACATCCATTATGCCAACTGCTGGTCCCTCTTTTAGAAAGAGAGATTTTTGCTATAGGGCATGTGCACTCTCCAGAAAGACAGAGATAGACAGAAAGTGAGAAATCACCCCACAGTAGGGGTTGACTCTGCCACTATCCCTTCTCCTCCACCCTCCTCTCAGGATTTTGAGCGCGAGAGCGTGCGCGCGCACGCACACACACACAAACACGCACTCCTGGCGTAAGTTTAAGCCATCAGGTCTGGGACTTGAACAGCAGTCAACTACATAGGAGTCCAGTAATATAATCATTATACCATCTGCTGGTCCCAATCTTAGCCATTTCTTTCTCAAGATTTCTTTTTTGCTTTGGAGGATTTGTTGACTATCTTGAGCAGGAGCTATGTAAGCTAAAAA